ATATTTAAACTGTTATTAAAAACCAAAAAGCAGCAATCCCACACTACATTCAGCCATTTTATTCACTGCCGGTACTTCCACAATTAACATCTGTGACGCACTGTATCAATAAGGGAAATTCCACTGGAATTCCCACTACCAGTTCCCAGGCAGTTAAGTCATGTGAAACTGGAATCCTAGCATTAAAATCAGTGGTGATTCAATATTAAAGTACAAATAAACTTACCTTAGCAACTACTATTGACTGAGCTGGGTAACAAACTGAAATTCCTAAAGCAGTAAGTCCAAATGGATATGCAATTTTCTTAAATCTAGAACCTGTATAAAAGCAAATGTTGTAAATAATTATATGCTAATGACATATGAAACTACTGATTGTATACTTGCAATTTTTTAACTCATATAATTATTTACACTAAACATCCTCGGTTGTCTGGAGGAGAAAAGGAAGAATATGATTTTAGTCGAATAAACTGCAATAGTTATGTATGCAGAAAAAGTTGATACCCCAAAGGTTGGTTTCCTGATTCAGAAATTCTTCCATAAACACACTGTATTTGAAAACCAACAATGAACGAACTTAAATTAAATCTTCTTCCTTGCAATTCTGTTGAATGAACCATCATCAATAACTTTGTAGCCCTGCTCTACTCAGTTTTAGCCACGTTTGAGCTAACAACAGTGTTAAACCTCAAAGCTATAGTGACTTATGCTTCCTTACCAAGTGCTTCGGATCTTAGCTAGCACGGTACACTGGTGCAAGCGTTTCGAGTTACTACAGAAAATGAGGTGGTATCCAAGAGCACAATACAGGTCTACATTCCAACTAATTATTTCTTTCTGAATAAATGGTTTAATGCATTGAATTTGCCTTAATATATAAATAACATTCTATAACACACGGTGTTTGATTCATTTTAACAATTTTTATAGAGTTACGAAAGAAATAGAGTCTCTTCAAATTTTATCATGAAGTTTTTTTTTTTTAAAAAAAACAGTAATTACACAGGCTTTTCCCTCCATTTCTGAAAAAACCCTACATCTTAAACAATGGTAATATTTGAAAACAAGTGGACAACTCCTACCTTTTCTTGACAGCACTATGCCAGCTAGGCCTGATATTGTAATTACTCCAGCTTTGGGAAGAAATTCTGGTGGCGGATTCTTGAGGTAAACATAAGCATCTTAGAACAATAATAACAAGAAAGTATCATAACAACTCAGTATGAATCTTTTTTTCTTATTATTTGCCACTTCGAAAATAAAGATGTAATTAAAATGATACACACTCAAAGTAAAATACAGTTCAGTATTGGGGTTTCTGTTAATAATTGAAGATGCTTTATATTCCAGGTACACGTTCTGAAGTGTTAGATGGGAATAGATTTCTAATCTAAAGTCCTCAAATCATATCAGCAAACAACGTTATTACGTTTCCTCTTTAGATACTTCTCATTTTGTAAAATGTTAGTATTAAGACTTAATAATGGGCAAGGAAAACATTTTATGTTTTTATTGTACTGTAAGTAATTATAGACAGATAATAAATCTCAAGAGTCTCTAAATTTACTATTTTCAGGGAAAGTTAATTTTATCTGTAATTGCTGATGAGTTTGAATGCAAATACTATTTGTAATCTGTACTAGAATTAAAAAGTTATTTTTTTAATTAAGAGAGGTTGTGAAGTTTCCAGCCTTGGAGATGTTCAAAACCCGACTGCATGGAGCCCCCAGCAACCCTCTCAAGTTGACCCTGCTTTGAGCAGCGGGGTTGGACTAGATGATCTCTACATTTAGATCCTTTCCAACGTCTGTGATTAAAAAACATTCTGCAGAATGCAAGGCAATGGAAGCTTTAGAAACCTTCTCTCATCAGCATCACACTAAAATCTAACACTTTAGCTGCACATACAATACTCTAAATCTTAGGAAAAAAAAAGGTATTAAAAGCTCACAAAATAGCCAAAGGAATAAGAAATGCTACTTAGTTGTATCTCTCATTTGACAAAAGAATTGAAATTCCACAGGAAATGAAGCTCGACACAATTTATCTTTTTTTTTTCCACACTTGCAGGAACTATTCGAGTCTGGTTGCCCTCTAGCCTCCTTTCACCTGAGTACAATTTTGTTATTTTCTGGTTTCAACCAGCCAAGTCATATAGACAAGAAACAGAAAGCAGTTAGTTAAGAAATATGCAATTTTCCTACCTTTTCCAAATTGAACTGAATCCATTATTCCATTTTTAACAAAGACAAAAACATTCTATATAAAAAAGAAGACATTAAATGAATGCAAATATTTTTCAAAAGTAGACATTTTCAGTACAAAAATACTCTGTTTGCACATGTGGTTTATCAAATGAGACAATTACGTAACTTCATCTGGCTTCATTACTCCTTCAGCAACTTCATTACTCCTTTCAAATTGGGTCAAAATATTTAGATACAAACTTTTTTTGATGTAAAACAAAAATCTAGCAGCCAATGAAGAGCATCATTGTCCAGACCACTTAACAAAACAAGCACTCATTCTTTAGGAGATCAATAATAAAATAATAATAATAATAATAGACAATTTCATCTAGAGTTATTTCATTGAATTTATTTCCAGTACCACTGAATTTGTACCACCAGGGGTCACTGCTCGTCAATCTCTAAAACACCAATTTACTCCTTGACTTACAGAGAAGTAACACATTTATAACCTGATTATTTTAATTATAAACTATGATGGTTGTCACTGATGAAGTTTTCACAGACCAATGGAATCAAAATTTGCAGAAAATACAGGTACATATTTTTTTCCTTTGCTGTTTTCAAAATAATTAAGTTCATTTTTTCCTACAAGGAAAACACAAACATACTAACTTTACAGAACTAACAGAAACCAAGCTAAAAAGCTTCCTTAGAAGATGCAAAAAACAGGAAGCAGATGTTCTTCCTGAAGATGTAAGAGATGGCACTGGCAGTCCTATGGGAAGCTCTCACTTCTCCCACAAATGCCACCAGAACAGGAAGAGTTCTATGAGCAAAAAGTTAGAGATGGCAGGGAGTGGTAGGAACTGCTTTGATCTTGTTGGACAAGTGATTTAAGCTAAAGGAGGGGTGTTACCCTTGAGCAGTTAAGACACCACAATGACAAGTATCGCATACTCTCTATGCCTAGAATATTTAATAACAAAATTGTGGGGTATTTTTGGCAACTAATTAATAATAGGCTGCTTTATCAGTTACACTGGGGTGCTCTCAGCTTGCGTTTCCTAAAGCATCCAAATCGGGTACTCTAACCTGCCCTTTGGAGGCAGTTATCTCTCTGTTAATGGTACCTGGAACGTCACCCTCCTAAGTATGGGCAACCTCTGTTTCTAAAGATAATCCTAAACTAAGGACTGAAAACATATGTGTGTGTGCGTGTGTGTGTGCATATCTTGCACTTCAAGTACACTGTCATTGTAGCTCCTTCCGCTATTGATTATTAAACGTTAAAATGATGGCAACAAAACTGAGTTGGACATGCAAAATCTGAAAAACAAAACAAAAACAAACAAAAACAAACAATCAAGAAATAAAAAATCAAGTATGAATGCTACCTTGAATGGCATTTGTGTTCATTTGAGAGATTAGCTGTTAGAAAATGGTTCTATTATACCTGACGCAAGCCAAACATACAAAGCAATACAAAGTTTCACAGAGACAAAATCTGACAAAAAGACAGAAAAATATGAAGAAAAGACTTTGCTTCTGCCAATTGTATCAGCCAATCTGAAAACAAAATTGCTTCTCATGCAAATTTGCCTAATAGGGAATTAAATGTATTTAATCGTAATGCATATCACTGCTTGCGGACTAGTTTTATTGCATAAGATACGGAGTAAATGACCTAGCCATGATATATAATCTATAGCATCTATTTTGTCAGCTGTCCCTAGTATGCATTAATTTTCTTCACACACCAGGGTGGCCAGGCTGGGAAGCTTAAGCATTTCAAATACACACTACTTCACAGACAGTCACATTCTGAGAGTAATAAATTCCCAAAGTAACTCTGGCTGTCAGAGGATAACCAACATATTTCTGAAGCTGATACTGCTGGGCTAGCCTAGATCCAGTATAAAATTGACCAAAAGCGATGTATTTCTTATCTCTCTGGTTTCTGATTTGGAACGCAGGGAAAATACATAGGTTCTGTCACCTCTAAACAGAGGAAAAATGAGGAAAAATGAATTTTTTTGCATCTTAACTTCCAGGTCTATGCTGGTAGAAGCACTGCAAGAAGAATGGGGTGAAATATGCTGTATTTCAATGGTTTTGTCTAATGCCACCAGGAATAGCAGGAAACTCGAGAGGCAGGTTTTTCTTACCTTGCACCACCCGAGGTAGCGGCTGGTTCTCTGTCTTACTGAGCAGAATCCCTTCTGCAAACGGCCAGGTTGTTCCTCAATGTATTTAGATTCCAGAGGTGGTGAACAGTAAATTGAAAGCTGGAAAGAAAAGCCTGAATTTACTGAAGGGAGACAGTTTTGGATAGTGTTCTTCAAGACACTGAATCCTTAGTCTTTCTGCAAGGATAAGTAAAACCTCCACATGCTCTTTTATATATAGAAACTTTCTTTACAAAAGTATGACTGCAGTTTAACTCTTTGGAAATGAAAATAGGAAGCACACATGGTAATGCTACTTCTCAGCCATTACCTAAGTATGATAAAAGTGTATTTTGTACCAGAAAAAGCATGAGCAACAACAATTGGAAGATGCACATAACATATTTCTAGAAAATATACAATAGAAAGAATACTATTATCATAGCAAGGGTTACACTTTTTTACCTTATATGGCTTAAGTTTGCCATTGTTTAATGAGATAAAATATTTCTACAGTAACTCTCCTCATGCTTGGACTATCTGTGCTACAGTGGACAATTATTTAGAAGCTAATTTGTATTATCAGCTACTACTTGGGTATATTTTTTATCTACTGAGTAATATAATTCAATGGAAAGACATGCTGTTCTGTTTTCCAATGCCAGATTTCCAATACTGCAGTGAGAATCTTACCTGACTTGGTTTCATCGGCTGGGCTGTCGATTCCTTTCCTGGTGCTGCATATACAGTAAGAGACACACACGGCAGAGCTGCCAGCTTGGCCATCTGGGCCAGGGAGATGAAAATAAGGAGTCTTAACACAGAAATAACAATTCAATTGAAGAAAAATCCAGATTTTATTGTTGTGTTGTGTACACTTGAAGTTATTTAAAATAGCATAACTTTTAGAATCCTCTCCTGTCTGTCATATAAAAGTTATTTTCCACCCCCCCCCAAAAAAAAAAAAAACACAAAGGAAAAGATAAGGATCACTGATAACAGTTAACCAGGAAGAATTTTGTATTCAAAACCATGTTGATGATTCCATCATCATTTTAAGTGAGTTCTTATCTGTGCAACATACAGGTTTTCCAAGTCAACAAATTACTTTTCGGGTTCAGCAAAAACACCTCAATTTTATGCACAAGACTTCCTGATGCCACCAACCAGAACGTCACCTCCTTTCCAACTCAGAGAACACATCAACTACTGTTTGGAATTACTGTATGTTGGTAGGAAATCAAATCACATAGTAAGGTCACCTGCTTAACTTTTCAATGACCTAAGTTACAATGTAAATTGCAGCAACGCAGAAATACACTCTTGGCCATGTGAGTTTGCCAATTCACAACATTAATTTGGAAAAAACCAAACCAAAACAAAAAACCCACAGTATTTTACACTAGGTTTAAATTCAAATACAGTATGTCTTAAGATTCCAATCAGCATCAACACTCAGTGTGTTGGGTGGGTAACAGCACATAAAGAAAATGTCCACACGTGGTAAAGCATCTGTAACTTGGAGGAGTGATGATTTCCTCTGTATCTGTAAAGGCATTTCTGCTCTTTGCTAGAAGCACTTCTGAAACTTCAAAGATGTGAAAACAAGTATGGAAAGTTCGCTACATAGAGAAGACTGTATCAAAATGTCAGAGAAATTGAAGAGGAGGGAAATAAACCTGATGTGGGTAAATATTTTAATTCCCTAGCATGAAGTTGTGTTATATCCTCATTGTTTTCTCAGCTTTCAATTGAAAACAGACTTTCAAAGGAGTGGGATGTGCTTCATAGTTCTTAATGGCAATAATGAGAACAAGTGTAAGCTTCACACAATTAATATATGAATATAAAGAAACACAAAAGTACAACCGTGAATTAGCTGAGGTTCATCAGAAAAATCACATACACCTACACTCATAACAAGAAAACACTATTATAATGCAAATAATGCATGTATAAGGTATATAAATATATACATAAAATACCTATATTACATATATTCTCTCTGTATAATATTCAGCCTTGCTGATACCCTTTATGTTCACTAGGGTTGTGAAATAGTTCTTATTCTATTCAGCTAGTCACACGTTGACAAAAAGGACCATGTTCCAATTTGATTTATTAGAGCCCTGATGGTCGAACACAAGTGAGTTTAGAGCTGCTCTCCTGAGGAGTGCCTTGCCATTTCTCCCTTGTGCAAGGGTCTAATAGGACCTCCACAGCAATAATAAAAAAATAATAATCAAAATATAATACCATTAACATATTAATAATTGTCTTTATGATAACATGGTCTAAAGCAAAAATCTGCAATCTGGGCTACATAAGATGGTATGTAAAATGACATTATTAGACATTAACTATCTAAAAAATCATAATTCTATTATGCTATTTCAGTGCAAGATGCTATGAAGACCACATACCAATTTTCAGTAGCTACAAGAGGGAAAATAAAATTTAAAAGTGAGAAGGCATGAAGACATAAGGAAGTCACATTTTTTGCTTAGCACATTTGATTAATTTGTTTCAGAAAGTCAAAACAGTGTTTACTAGGCTAAATATAAAAAACAAAGCTATACTGCAAATGATGACAGTAGAGCAGTTCCTGACTGACACTAATTGCTTTACTTTTGGATGCCTGTAGACAGATGCATGAATGTTTAAAAAGCAGCTCTACTATCTAAATCTTATGCGGCCCCAGTTGTTCCCAATAAGGTTTCATTGTGTTTGACTGAAATCCCAAACAACTTAAGAGAAAGAAATGTCATCTGTAGCACACCCAAGTGACCTCACTGCATTGTCGTCTATCCTCCTCCTTACGACTATCTATATTAAAAAAGACACTCCCTAATACATTCAAATAAGAGTATATATTAAACAAGGAAAATCATAGTTAAGAAACAAAAAAGTCAATAAAAACATTGAACCTTAGAAGTCTCATCGTGTATCTAAAGAAATCAAACAGTATTTACCTATTAGATCTTCTCTAAGACGCTATGAAGAACTAAGAAATACCATGATTTTATGGTGGTAACACACATTAAGAAAGAAGCGCACAAAACAAAAATGACCACAACAGATTTAAGCCTTTCAAAAGCTAGAATTGCATGGTTACCTGATTTCAGAAGGTCAGTAACTGCTTCAAAATAGAAATCTGTTCCAAAAATTCAGGAAGTATTTTATTTTAGCTTTTTTTTTAAGGCAGTTTAGTTCAGTACCTACTCTGTATTTTAATTCTGTTGTTATCCAAAATAATGGTTTGCTAAGCCCTGTGAAAATAGAGGAAAAGACTCAATCCCTAATGGCAACAGAACTAAATACCTGTGTTTTACTAAAGGGTCCTTTAAAGAGCCATGAGCCCAGACATCACCTTCCAGTGAGGAATTCAATATAAACTCACAGATCTAAACTTCACCAGAATTACAGATACTGGAAATTACTATACTCGATGCAGAAAAGAAAGAGAAAAATAGAAAAAACAGAAATAAATAAGGCCAGTGGTAACACTCAGAAGATTTCCCTAAAACCACTCTCATGCTCCTGCCACTGCCAACACATAATAATAGTAGGTTCTTTCTCAGAGGCATAAAAAACATATCATTTTTTTTTCAAAGGATGAAGCCTAACAGATGTGGCATTTTTTTGATCAAAAGACTATGAACAGCAATTATTTGCTGAAGTAAGAAATTTCTCACACAATTATGCTCTCTGGGAGAAAACCTTTATGGATACATCTTTTAAAAACAGAACTGGAGTAAGGCTAGTCAAAATATAGTAATCAAAATATAGTAATAAAGCTGTCACACATACCTGGATAATTCCGGCTTTAAGTCTCTGCATTTCAAACAATCCACTTTGAAGTGGTAGAAATTTTTCAAAGATCAAAAATACGGACTCTAAAAAAAAAAAAAGTTAAAGTTCCATGACTAGAAAGAATTTAATATCTTTAATTCAAAAGATGTAGAATATAAACTAAAGCATAATAAAAACATATATGTCCCAGTAATTTACATAAATGTTATTTCCTACTGAAACTTTGCAAATTCAGTTTACCTGCTTCAAAAACTAGTGCATAAATAAGAAAGTCTGCCCTGAAGGCTGGAGCAAACCTCATGAATAAAAAAGTAAATAATCAAAGGGATATGCTATATACAAAAGTCTGATAAATCTATAACTATATTTATATCCATACTTTTATATACATACACACCTACATAGTTATATATAAAACCTGATCTATCAGAAAACCAGAAACTACTAGCAAGATGAAAATATTATTACAATTTTAGCAGCTCCTGTATGCTCTATTTTCAGTGGAGAGCTGCTATTGAAAAAAAAAGTGAAATAAACACAGTTTTTGCTTTCTATTGACACTTATATGTCTTAGAAGAGAAAGCTGCCTCTGAGCTTTTGCTGTTATTTTCCCAGAAGTGCCATAACAACATGCAGAAGGCAATTGTCCAAAGTAGGGTGTTAAGAGGACTTAAAGAGGACTTAAAAGTAAAAAGAGAACTATTTCAACAGGACAAACTTAACAAAAACAACACACCAAAATATGAGTTGGTAGCATTTACAATCAAGAAAGAAAAGTCCGGTGAGATCAATCACAGGACAAATACATATAACTGATTACAAATGTTTCTGTAATGACAAAACAGACAAGCATATTAAAAAACACTGTTATCAGCTACAGTCACAAATTACCCCAAATTAATTACTTGAAGGTTTATGGATTAAAAACTAACTGAACTGTAGACAGGCACCAGGCAGAAGCAACCAAGTCTTGCTGAAGAGGACAAAGTTAAAAATCCATCTAGGATGTGCTGGAAGGAAAACTGCTCCCCCATATGACTGCAGCCAAAAGAACATCTGCAAACGTTTCATGCAACTAACATCTAAACATCCTAACACTTCTTAAAAACAACAGTTTTATCACAAGGCCTGGAATAATGCAATACTAGATGTAATTCCAACAACTAATCTAAAAGTTGGCAATTACCTGTATATTAACCATCAGCATTTGGTTATATAGCTTTTAACTTTAAAAAAGATTGTTTTTTAATGTTAGATCAAGTCACTAATACCATGGATGACTGAGAACTTGTGACAAAATTTTAATAAAACTCTGATCAGTATGAATGAAACATTCAGAACACAGAATTACTTAGAACAATTTTGACTGAAAGGAGCCTCCAGAGATCCTCTAGCACAATCCCCCGCTCACAGCAGATCAGATCAGTTTGGTCAGGGCTTCAGCTGGCCAAGCGTTGAACAATTTGCAGAATGAGCATTGCCAAAAACCAGCACCCGACCACCAGCCCATGGGCCCTTCAGAGCGTTATCTAGTGTCATCTGTCTCTGCAGCAATCTGGCAGTTAACAGACAACGATACCTCGGAAAAACACCATCGGGACGGACAAAAACAGAGCTGACAACTCTGGGTCAAAGCGGTTATGGCTGGATATGAAATGACTTAGCTCATAAACTGAAACTCCAACTTCATTCAGTTACCTATGTTCACATGACATAACATAAATACAGAATGTAAATAATTTCTCTACAGAATGCAAATGAAAATAACTAAATCTGACATTGCTCAGCAGTATTTTAGGGAGGCATTCATCAGTAACATACACTTACAATTCCAGATATGTATTACATTGCTTATCACTCTTACGCTCTGTAAATAAAGGTTTACTACTTGCAATTTACTCAAGATACTGGCACCTTAAACTGCAATATTAATATTTTGAGGCTCGTTAGAGGCTTCTGAATCCAACACTTTA